CCTTCATTAGTTTAGTTTAGTTTTTTTTTTTTCCAAAATCTTTGTAATGATTTAACTGAGGAAGAAAGCCAGGTCACTTTCAAATAAAATTATTTGGCTTTCTATCATTTTCAAGGTCAATGAATAGTGTAGATCTAGTTTTAGAATCTAAGGGAATTTTGTGATGAGAGAGATGAGGTTTAACATGTTGACTTCCCCGGTAAGTAAGACATTGCTTAATGCTTTTGCTAATTTGATCATGAGAAATGTTAATGCTGTCACAATGTTTTATAACGTTGGTATGAGAATTAACATTAATATGTGAGATGACAGAGATTTCATGGAGATGTCCCATTTTAAGAGGGTCCCCCTTTCATTTCTCTTTGATTATATTTATTATTCAGTTTGAAATACTGAGCTTTAAGTTAATTATCATTTAAATCACCAAAGAAGTAGGGATATGCCAAAATTTCAGTGAGACGGGCTCTAAAATAGATATTATTCTAACTTGATCAACTTTTAGCGCACCGTGAGTAAAATATTATTGTAAAAGATCTCAGTGTAATTAGGAATAAAACCTTGTAATTGACACTTTAAATTAATTTTTTGAATATATAAAATACAAAAATTTATCTGAAATTCTATATATATATATATATATTTTTTTTTGAACAAATGATATTATCTACAAGGGGTGGGCTAGCCTCACAATGTGCTAACAATAATGTGGTTTAAATTCGCTTTTGGCGAGAATCAAACCTAAGGCCTCTTACTTACAAGTGAAGAGAATATCACTAAACCGTTGTACCAATTAAGTAACATCTAAAATTCTATATCTTAATCAGCAAATATTTCGTCAGCCATTGAAAAGCACAAGTCTGATATACTAGCATGAGGTCCTGTTTATGCTTTCCTACCTATAATGGGTTTACTAGCATGCTTCATTTAAAAGTCAGAATATATCAGATGCCTTTAAACATTTTCAATGCCTCCCATTAGCAACTTTTTATTTTTCTTTATTTTCACTCAAGATAGATGTCAACGTGTTTGGGTCATAAATAAAGGAAAGGATACTCTTCGGATCTCTTTCTTCTAATCCATCAAATCTGCAGATTCGAATCATTGAAATTTGATCTAACGGCTAAAGTTATTATAACCTTTAAAGTGAACCCCTATTTGTAGTTGTTAGATCAAATTTCAATGGTCCGAATCTCCAAACTTGGTGGATTAGAAGGAAGGAATCCAAAGAGGATCCCTTTCGATAAATAAAAATAAGACCTACTATATGGCCAATCGAATTTTATTTAAGTGAAGGCGCACCGGCCCCACCAACAACAAAACCCAACTCGAGTAGGCTCACTAAGGCTCGGGATGACCCCTTCCCAGCACATCCCTTGGGGGTTTGGACTCATCCTCTCCTGAAGAGCCGTCTGGCACGTAAGCAACCAAGCTCGAAAATCTCACAACTCCGTAAAAGCACTAGGTGAATGCGTCACCATATACATTAAAACGACAACATAGCATCTTATGAGGGCCAAAAAACGCAAAGATGGCCACCAACCATGAAATGCAGTTATTGTCATTGTCAATGACCGATCTACTCTCACTCAGAGTAGCGATAAGATCAAGAATGCTTCTCTGGACGCCTATAAATATAGAGGTAGCGATCTCCAAGCTCAGGACAAATTCAATCTCTACGATTACAAACTTCAAGTGACACTTTAATCAAACCCATCAAAGATCTTCAGCTCAACCCAAAACTCTCTTTAAAGCTTATGTGGCGGCTTCGCCTTGCTTGGGCTAGCGGCAAATCTTACAGATACATCATCATCTCACATGGAGAGGACCAAACCAATGGAGATGAGACGTTGGTGAACTCCGTTCTCAGATCAGTGTTTGTTTCGTATGTCCCACCTTTAGCGGGTGATGTCTCATTTAGTGAGTGATATAGTCTTGCTTAGCAATGATGGTTTTTGCAGGTCTCGCTTGTCGGTGATGATTTTTATAGTCTCACTTGCCAACAATGACATTGCATGTGCCTTAGTATAGGCTTACTACGTCTGCAGTCTTTGTGACGGATTTGTACCGGAGTGCTTGTGCTGGTACGAAGTTGCTTGTTCTTGTGAATTAGGAGTTTACTATTATGCTAATTCTGCAAATTATCTCTACATTTATGTATAGGTACTCATACGGCAACCCATATAACTATGTTATCGTGTGTTTGTGTTATTGTGTGTTAATGAAAATTACTATCGCTTCTTGTAAAAGAAAATGTCTTGCCCGTGTCACTTGTAGATTTAGCCAAAATGGGGCAAACGTTGTAAGAGGAGTAATGTTAGGGAGATCAAATTTGTAGACAAAGTTGTAAACTAAATAATGTGTTACCAATAGGAAATAAGTACATTTATCAACGGTTAAGTTATAATTAAATCATCAACTATCATATCATTTTGTCCATAAATTTAATCTCTCCAATATTACTCTTGTTCGAGTTGTTGGCATTTGAATCAGCACAACGAGTAAAATTTTCTCTTCCCCTCTTCCTCACCTCTTTTTCCACCTCTTTCTCCTCTTACAATCTCTCCCTTTTCCTGTCGTCATCCCTTGTACCTCTCTGCCCCTCTCAATGATTGGACCAAACTAAGCTAACATTCGGTTCAATTCTATATTCTGGGAATTAAAACAAACTTAAAAACCTGTCCACCCCTATAAATGGGGAAGAAAAACCTAAACTAAGCGAGGTTCGACCTCTAAAAAAATCTAAAATAGTTCATGCCCAAGCATGGTATAAAAGCGGAGCATTGAGAATCAACCCACCATACTAGGGGTTGCCTTGGGTTGGGTAAACCCAAATCCGCCCATACCCAACACGATTTCAAATCCAATTTGGCTCGTTAGAATGAAGCAACAACCCGCCCAAACAAAACTCAACCTCAACCTTGATGATTGATTCAGTTGGATTGGGTTGATGTCTTACCCTCCCATGTCAACCCAAACTCAACTTGACCTTAATTAATCAATGATTCAACTTGATTGGGTTGATGTCTTACCATCCCATGTCAACTCAAACCAAACCCTATTTTATCCCAAATTTGCTCATGCAAATATTACCCATCCAACTTTATATTATATGAGTTAGATACAAGTTTTGAGATCGCTATACTTGAAGTTTGTTGTTAGGTTTCATTTGAACAATGAATAATAATGTTGTTTTTACGTTTCTTTTGGTTGAAACTTTGGCTGTCTCTTGTAATTTTATTTAACTTCACATGGTTGAAATTTAAAAATGATCTCCACTTCAAAAGTTGAAAAATCTTGCAATATAAGGTGTTAAAAGATTGAACTCAACAAAATTGAGCAAACTCAAACCCAATCCAAGTATGCCCAAACCCAACCCAAATCCAAATTGTGAATATTGCTTTAAGTTTGGTTGACCATCTAACTCGTCCAAGTTGCACTCTTATATCATTCCATGTGGAGCTTTTTTGGCACAACCAACCAAAGATAAATACCACGTCAGAAAATCATGGATTAAATCGTACTTATGTGTAGTCTTTGATTTTCGCATAATAAATAATTTTTGCAACCGTAAGAAAAGTAAAGGTGTTATGTAAAATTTGTAAATGCACTTGAAACAAAACCGTTACCGTCAAAACAATTACGAAATTATATATTAATCTTCAAATCACCTCATAAAATTATCTTCAAATACTGTGAATACATCCCAATTGTCATTGATATGATCACACGAGGAAATGACATGGAGAACGTGAATTTGGATCTTTTATGGACCTTAGTGTCCGGATCTAAGGACCAAAAAATTTGGAGTCTTAGTTTACGTGAAGGAGAAATCAGAGTACTTGTTTATACGAGATGGGTCAACAAAAGGAGTTAGTGATGATCGTCGAATTAAATTTGAGTGGTCTAGATTGTCTGATCCTTGAGTTCTGAATCTTGATAGAATCTCTATCCAATCAAAGCGGAATGACGTGGGATTTATAAGTCAAATTTGTGGGGCTAAATCATGCACAGATTAGCATGAAAAAAACATGAAAAGGGCAAAAAGTAAAGGAGAAAGGGAAAGCAGCTTTTGTTTGTTTCGACACAATTAACTGCATAATTGTGTGGGATTATGACCCTCTCCAACCACCATGCTAATCTTCTCACAACCACACACAAAAAAAAATATATATATATATATATATTAAAAGGGTCCAAGAAAATAAAAAGTGTTAAAACAAAGTAATTATACACCAGAATACATTGTACCAGCAGAGGCTCTCTCTAGTGCACATTAAAAGGGCGCATTTAAATTACACATCTGAATAAGAACTGATAGATCATTTAACCGAACAAGATCTAACGACTCTTGTTAGATGTATAACTTAAGGAAGACGATTCTCTCAGAATCCACATTATGGGAGGATCTTTACATCATAGTCGTTCATCGTATATTGTGCGACCAATTTTCGTCAGATACTATTTGTATATAATATTAAATAAAAAAAGTTAAAATGATTTCTAACTACGATGCAAATCCACAACTTAAAATGTGAAATAGTGAAAATTCAGTACTAACGAGAGCTCAAAAGGAAACACAACTCACCTAGAAAATAACGATGCCCAACAGAAACACACACTAGTGAGGCCCAACAAACAAGAAAAACAAACGCCTAAACAAAGAAACAACATCTACTGAAGGTCCATTCGTTGTTGTCTTGCCTCTTAGTATTTCTTTGCTACAAAACATCTCGCAAAGAACTAGCTACTTTGCGTTCGAGTGTTTCATAACACCTCTAACGACAATTCATCCGCATTTAGTTTCTCGTCATAGAGAAATGAAACGGAACAAACATAATGAATGGACACATCAAAAGAGGAAAACGAAAGTGAAAGTATGAACTAACGGATGCGTGTTACTCGAACACCCGACTTCTGTGGAAACACAGTAAGCACTGATCAACATTTGCAAATACCAAAGCCAACGTACGAACAAAGCATGCATCGCGATGAAAACATTGTTAGAGCTCAAACAAAGCGGTAGAAATCTTACTAAAATCCTTCACAGACATATGTTCAGCAACAATGCTGGATATCATGCAAAATGAAAAGCTTTACTGCCAATCTCCACAGCTGACTACATATGAAAACCATAACCAGCACAACTAGAATCCCAGAATTAAGCTAATAAATCCAAATGACGAAACAACACCACTTCTAGAACTAAACATAGAAAAGCATATAGACGGGACTTGTGGCTACAGCCTAAAAGCCACTTTCTTTGTTTACCGAGCAATTGTTCAATAGCCGCCACGGTAATCACCCCCTCCACCACCACCGTTAAATGGTCGAGGACCAGTTCGCTCAGTGGCATAACTGACACGAATGTTTCGCCCGTGCAAATCCTGAAATTCAAACAAGTCCATAGTCGCAAGAAGATCATTACAAGACAAAACTAACATCTTACAGGGGACCATATCCCTCAGAATCCACATATAGGACCCCAAAATTCGGGATGATTTATTTTTATGCAATTCATGCCCCCTCAATGATAAAATTCAAATTCTCACCTGGCCATCCATGGAAGAAAGTGCTGAACTGGCAGAATCATCACTGGCAAAGTTAACAAATCCAAAACCCCTAGACCTTCCAGTATCCCTGTCCGTGATAACTCTTGCTGCACATACAAAATTCAATTGTTAATTCCAGTACTTAGAGAAGGGAACAACAGATCAAAAGACGCCCAACTAAGCTTACAAGCACTTGAGGAAACTTCTTATGGTAGTAATATCGCAAAGAGAAGGACAGAAAAAAGTAAACAACCAAATATCAGCATCATATGGTGACAGTTTATTTTATTCACTGCCAGAGAGTCTATTCCCATTACTCAACATGCAGAAAATCAAAAACACTAAACTCGTTTTAGCGAACCAAAAGAACATAAAAGACAACCAGCAAAAGCAGAGGATCCAAGTATACATTGCAAAAGCAAAAAAAAAAAAAAAAACCTCTTGATGGACATCATTATTAGAACTAACCATAAGCATCGTAGAATCAATAATAATAACAGGTGAAAACCAAGAGAGCCTGAATAAAATTTTGGTGTTATATATAAATAAAATAAAAAGAACTAAGATTCCTGATAAACAAACTTTCATTTGCCTAACCCTTTACTGTGAAGTAGCATAAAACAAAGGATAGAAAGAATAATGCTCTACCAAAACTAAATATAGTGACAATGAAGAAACCGAAAGTACATTATGTTATGGTGAAAATGGTGGCCTTTCAGTAAGCAGACAATAACTAACAAACCACTTTCGTAACTTACCCTCAGTCACATCACCAAAGCTTGAGAATGCCTCCTTAAGAGACTCATCATTAGTTCCAAATGAAAGGCCTAACAAGCAACAATTTAAATCAAAATGTCAATGATAAAGCTACTGTATCTGTAAGTTGACGTCATAAATCAACATTGTCAGATAATATACCTCCAACAAAAAGCTTGGAAGACATGCAGCGCACAGAATTAAGCATTGCTGTCATGGGTGCTTGTCCAGTCTGGGAAATGTTATGCTTCAAGAGGCTCCCAATTTTGTTACAGAAAGCCATTTTGAAAGATCACAGTTTTCAGATAACACAAGAGCCTGCGCCAGAAATAATTTCCACTGTAACCATTAATCCAACAGAAGCAACAAAAATTCCATGCGTGGATTGTTAGATGCTGCAATAGTTACACATTGCAAATAAAAATAGTACATATGTGTGTGTGTGCCAAAGCAAACATGCAAAATTGTGTTAAACCATAACAAAAAGCTCGCTCAATACAACATATATTGACTATAAAAACAACATAACAGTAGCACAAAGGGTTGAATATGAATGCACATCCACTGACAAGAAGGGCGCATCAATAACCAGCAAATCTTACAAAACCAGGAAATGAATAACTGACTCAACCCAAAATCAAGTCAATTCGACACTGAAAATTATTTTCACCACTACAGAAGCATCAAAATTTGGAAAAAAAAAACACTACATGGTAAATAAAAGTATACTAACATATTAAGTGACCCTGGATATATTTCTTTAACAAGCATAAGACGGAGAATCAGTCCATCAAGAAAACAAAGGGTCTTACATTTCCACATGAACCACAAACACATTTGAAATATTTTGGGTCTCACAACCTTAGTCTCATTCTATAGAGAAAGTAATGAAAACAGTCTTTAGCCCCATAGTTTGACACACCTAACCATTTTTTATCTCTGTAAATTGTAAAAGGGTGGAAAGTGCAAGTGCTCTCTTTTCAACTTCTTCTAGTCTATTTGACTGAAAAACAAAACAGAGTCTAGGTTTCTACCATTTTCTTCAAGCAGATCGGTAGCTAAACACACAAAATAAACAACCCAAATCACAGAGTCATACAACTTCCTGGTCATAGCATATACAACCCAAAACACTGAACAAAACACATACTCATATTCCCACAAAAACAATCAATAAAAAAGATGAGAAACAAAACAAATCATACAAACCATGAATTGATAAACTACGATAGCATACAGAGAGAGAGAGATCGAGAATTAGGGTTTAGGATGGGGTTTACCTCAGAGAGAAATGGAGCGGCTAGGGTTTAAGCCGAAACTCAAAAGGCGGTGAGGGTTTGAGAACGAGCGAATAACCTGTGCATTTTATAGAGGAAGTTGGAGAAGGTTTAGATCACTTGCGGTTGCGGGTGTTAAAGAAATGCGGCCCACCCCACTGAAATTTTGTTTCCTCTTTTTTGAACTTAGCGACTTCACCCAAAAAAAAAAAAAAAAAAAGTAAAGCACACTACTTTGGATTTGGATCTCATCCGGATCTTCTTTGGGATGATCCTAGAGATTCAAATATTTTATTCGTTCATCGTTCATTGTGAGGTTAAATTTTTTTATTTAAAATTAAACACAACTACGGGCAAAACTAATAAAGGCTCACTGGAGCAGATGTCCACACTCAAGTAATTTGTTTGTTTAGTTGCAGACTATAGTTATATAATATATACGCATTATCTTTGAGGAAAATATATGTATCTAATATCCAATATACGTTCATATTACTTATACGTCACGTCAAATATTATATGAGCAAAAGTAATCTTGTTTTGTCGTTTAAACCCAAAAACCCATCTCTTGCCCATCATGTATTAATATTTTGGGAGATTTTGGATGCGGTTCCTAGCTACTAATGTTCTTTGACTGAAACCTTTGTGGTTTTTAGTTTTTTATCAAAGTCTCTGACATTAATGTAATAATGTATTCTATGCAAGTTACTATATTTTTAAATTAAAAATGAAATTTATAGCTATTTATATTAATGAGATTTTAAATAAAACCAACAATTTATGGGATTAAAAATATTAAAGATAAATTATACTCTTGAATATATTATGTATATATACACATGGGTACGTTCATCAAACTAGCCAAAAAGTTATTGTACCAAAACATGGGTACATTTTCCAAAAACAGAAACATAAAAAATAAAAAAATAAAAAAAAATAAAAAAAGAAAGAAGATATTAGGCTTAATAACATCATTGAACTTATTCTATTAAACTTGACATGGATACATTCTCAAATCAACGAAATAGAATGTACCCATATAAGCTTAAAAATGAATTAGAGAAAAGATTGAATGAATTTTATATAAAACAATGGGTACATTTTATATTTAAAAAATGGTACATTTTTCATATAACAAATTAGTATATTTAAGAATGGGTACATTTAAGATTAGAAAAAATTGAAAAATTATATGGATGGGTGCATATAAAAGTTCAATGGGTAAACATTTATTCTAATTTTATTTTTTATATTTTGTAAATGTTTGAATTGAAACGATCAGGAGTTTAATAAGGGTGTGAGTATTAAAATCCTAAATCAATTACTAATTTTTATTTTTAAAGATTATGTATGTCACATCCCAGTCTCGACTTCAACTTAGCACGATATTATCCGCTTTGGGCTCCAGCCATGCCCTCACGGTTTTGTTTATGGGAACTCACACGAGAACTTCCTAATGGGTCACCCATCCTGGGAATGCTCTCGTCCGAACTCGCTTAACTTATGAGTTCCGATGGAACCCGAAGCCAGTGAACTCCCAAAAAGCCTCATGTTATAGGGAAGGGAGCACGTACATATAAGGTATATCACCCCCCATTCGTTGGTCGATGTAGGATGTTACAATCCACTCCCCTTAAGGGTCCAACGCCCTTGTCAATACACTCGCACCACACGGCAGAGTGGCTCTAATACCATTATGTCACATCCCGATCTCGACTCCGCCATAGCATGATATTGTCCACTTTGGGCCCCGGCCAAGCCCTCACGATTTTTTTTATGGAAACTCACATAAGAACTTCCCAGTAAGTCACCCATCATAATTTGAAATCCTCCCTATCATCGTATTAGGTATAAGCTATACAGTATTAAGGTTTTTTTAATTGTTTTCCAGGTTGCCCCTACTAGAAGAAATTTCTAGCTCTGTCCTGAATACAATAGTATCTAACGATTGTTGGTTGATGAGTCCATATTATACTATATATTTTACCATAATCTTAGTTATAATTTATTGGTTATTTTGGTAGAATTTTGATACTTTACTTTATATTTTCAATATAGGACATTCGACGTCCGTGTGTTCCTTAGCTTGTTCGCATCAAAATTTCAGCAATTTCTATGCCACTTTCCAATATATTTTCAATATATGAAATGAATTTACTCATTTCATACTAATGAATTTAATATGTATCCTTTAAATATATGTACCGAAATGTATTATAGTGAATTTAATGTACCTAAATGAATTTAATGTATTATAATGTACTAATTTTTCCTAATAATTTTCTCATCACTGTGCCACTTTCCAATAATATATTGAAATTTTTGTAACATTGAAATTGTGATACATCATAATTTGAAATCCTCCCTATCATCATATTAGGTATAAGCTATACAGTATTAAGGTTTTTTTAATTGTTTTTCGGGTTGCCCCCACTAGAAGAAATTTCTAGCTCTATCCTGAATACAATAGTATCTAACGATTGTTGGCTGATGAGTCCATATTATACTATATATTTTACCCTAATCTTAGTTATAATTTATTGGTTATTTTGATAGAATTTTGATACTTTGCTTTATATTTTTAATATAGGACATTCGACATCCGTGTGTTCCTTAGCTTGTTCGTGTCAAAATTTCAGCAATTTCTACCAAACGGTTATTTTCTGGTGATTAAATAAAGAAGTAGTGCTCGTTGTTGAAAAATAACGTTTTTGGGCTTAAATGCACTTTTTGGAGCCCAAGATGACCTTGGATGGGTTTGTGGCTTTCTGGAGAAGTGTTCATAATAGTCTAATCTTTAAATCCAGCTATTTTGGGCCAGTTTTGGAGCTGATATGAGTCCGAAATGTAACTGTGCAGAATTTTGGACGAATTTACCAAGTCAATTTAGGATTATGTTTCTTAATTTATTTCAATTCTATTATGTTTCCTAGTTTTTAAAAAACATTTTCTAGTAAGAATTTTATTTTGTAGTAGTATAAATAAAGTTTTTTAGCCATTAAGGTTTTTTAGAGAAAAGGGAAAGGGAGAACGAACGCACTACTTAGAGAGCTTTTGACGATTCAAGTTTATTTACAAGGTGTTTTCTATCCATGTTCTCAATAATATTTTGTTTTATGGTTGTTGATAACTAGTTTTGGTTGCTAAGGTGAGGCCACGAGCCTTGGTAAGAATATGTGGTTTCTTTTCAATTTACTTATGATGTTATGTATGCATGTTTTGAATTATTAATCATCGGTTTAAACTATCTAATTGTCTTGATGATTAGCCACCATTAGGATATTTAAAAAAGTAATTTGATGCAATTTTGACTAGAAGGATGTCCCTAAAATTGACTAAGGTTTCTTGTGTAACATCCCACATCACCCAGGGGAGTGGATCATCTAAGCCTTATATGTATATTCACATCTCTACATAGCACAAGGCCTTTTGGGAGCTCATTGGCTTCGGGTTCCATTATAACTCCGAAGTTAAGCGAGTTTGTGCAAGAGCATTCCCAGGATGGGTGACTCACTGGAAAGTTCTCGTATGAGTTCCCATAAACAAAATCGTGAGGGTGTGGTCGTGGTCCAAAGCTGACAATATCGTGCTGCTGTGGTAGAGCGGGCCCGGGATGTGGTGGACCCCAGGTCGGGATGTGACAATTTGGTATCAGAGCCAATCCCTGGCCAAATGTGTGTTGACGAGGACGTTAGACCCCTAAGGGGGGTGGATTATGACATCCCACATCGCCCAGGGAGTGGATCCCCTTATATGTATATTCTCATCTCTACCTAGCACGAGGCCTTTTAGGAGCTCATTGGCTTCGGGTTCCGTCGGAACTCTGAAGTTAAGTGAGTTTGCGTGAGAGCAATCCCATGATAGGTGGCCTACTGGGAAGTTCTCATGTGAGTTCCCAGAAACAAAATCGTGAGGGCGTAGTCAGGGGCCTAAAGCGAACAATATCGTACTACGGTGAAGTCATGCCCGAAATATGGTGGGGGCCTGGGCCGGGATGTGACATCTTGTGGTTAACATGTATAACTTCTTAGGATGTACAACACGTCTTAAGGCTTATATGGTTTTTCAAAAGGTTTTCACAAAACTTAATGAGTTTTGCATGTTCACATTCGATCTGGACACCACGGACGGGTTACATGTTAGATATACGTTCTATGTTGGAGGTTCCAAGTAGGGCATGTTTTAAGAAAACCTAACCTTCAAATATGCATGTGTAAGTCATGAATAATTGGAAGAACTATGTAGGATTGTTAAGGTGACGGCGGAACCCTAGTGCTTAAATTTATTTTCAAAACTATTTTCTTTTGTTTTATTTACTTTGCCAATTTATTTAATTGTTTTTAATTAAATTCGTTTTTAATATTTTAGGTCATAAAATCAACCTCTTCTAAACTTTGTTTTCAAATAATTAATTAAGATTTGGTTTTAACATAAATTATTCATTCAATCCCTGTGAAAAACGATCTTACTTCAGCTACTATACTACGATAACCTTGTACTCTTGCAAGTATTTTTAAGTGTTTTTATCCCTACTTTTGCAGGTAATAAAAATCCCTATTATTGATTGCACGATGTACGAGGAACAGATAGAATGTGAGGATCTGGAAAGGATCCTCATCCCACTACTTTTATCAACGTGAGTAAACTAGCGCATATGATTAATTGAGAGAGAATCACAACTAAATTCAGAACAATTAAAGAGATAAATATTAACATCTAGGAATAGTCATAGCTCGCATGTGGCCTTTTAGCATAGTGGTAGAAAGGTGTTGAGCCATTGCATAACGGCGTGAGTTCAAATCCCATCAATGGCTAATCAAACATCTAATTTAACAAAATATATTGTTTGAAAAAAAAAATAACGGAATAGTCATATCTCATAAATAAACACCATTAATATTACAGCTCTCCCTAATTTTATTGTATTTTAATTTTCATATGTGTGAAATTACCAAAAAGATGATAACAATGTTATCAAATGGCCCATAAAAAATTGAAACATAAAATCTGAGAAATTATAAGAAGCCACATTCATCAATTAATCATTAACTTAGCATTAGATTCGGATAAAATTTTACATTGACTCACTAGTGATGATATATATATTTGTGACGAAATCAATACCTAATCGTAACTAACCTCATTAGACTAAAATAATTTC